ATTGAGAATATAATGTGTATTGATTGATAGTTCATACAATCATTAGATGTTTATTCTATGTCAGCCCTACGTTATTGCATCACTGACAAGGGGGAGTAACTGGGTTGAAAATTCAGGCATCCAACTGGCTCAGTCCCTCTGGTTACCCTTAATTGTACATAATAACCAACAAGTTGTTATTACACCTACTGACCTGGCGAATTGACCTTTAAAATCTGTATCTATAATACTAGTTTGTAGAGGATGGAGGGGGTGGGGCTGTCTAGTGATAGCTTTAAGTCGTCCCATCATTACCTACAATCAATACGAAAAAAATTAATTCTACAATAAAAATAATTTTAAAAAAAGAAACAATCTACTTATTTAGTATTAATTGTATCATTTTGTACCCCTGTTAGACATGAAAAGGAAAATTTTAAAAAGTTCTGTAAAATCATTCATTTAGTGGATTTGTTCTCAGAACCATATGAGTGGGGACTAAATCTTCCAATTAGTTAATTGTTTTAATCATGGGGACATGAATTATAGCCCCTGACACAAGAAATCAACAAAAATTAAATCCACAGAAATATTATGTTTTACCAGTAGCTTTTGTAAAAAGAAAGTCAATAATCTTTTTCTGATCTACTTCAAATAAAAACATAACGATATCTTTAAAAATATATCTTATGTTAGACCAATATACTTGATTTCAATTAATTTCAATCAGTAATATGACTTACGTAAGCTAGATCAAGAAATTCAAATCTGTTAGCAGAACTGGAGAAAGCAGCAGACGTCATAAAGTGGACATGTAACGTGGGTAATAACGTCATCAATGTATGTAACTGAGCTTTTAACTGACCCTCTTTCTCTTGAAATTGCCTGAAAATATCATGTTTCACTTTATCATCTTGAAGTTTAGTCACAAACAATCACAGAATTAATTTCTACAGTAAACTTGTCTGCCATTCGATTTACAGCTTTGCTCCAAAGACACAGATGGGAGCTTTGTCACCTTGTTATTGATGGGACAAAATCAAATCTCAAGATGCATTGGCTTGACTGAATTACTAAATCACTGACAGCCAGGCGGACCTGTTGTAAGTATTACAGTAACACGGTCCATGATAGGGGTTTAGTTTACTTCTTAATGAAACTTTTACAGTAAGATTTCAAGTGAAAGAAAACTCTCATTTCCCCTGTTGAATATAC